CGATAAATGACTGGACGTTACGAAACTCACACTAAGTTTTTTGTTGTTGTTTTTTAAGATAAAACGATTTCAGATTCTGGTATAAAGTTCAATTAATTCTATTAAATTATTGAGTTTTTCAGAAGTCCTATAATCAACAGTAAGCCACTTTGTTACCCTTGTCTGGTTTTGTGTATGGATAATAAGTTCGTAGTGTTCGAGGAAATCTTATGGTTGATTTCGTTTATGGTGTTAGCAAATATATTAACAGACGTTTTAAAAGGTCATGTTTTATATGAAGTTTGAAAATTATTATTTATCAGTGTGATTATTTTAATTAATTATTACCAAATTCTATGCTTATTCAGGTCCTTTACACAACACCAAAGTTTATTGTAATTTCTGGAACGTTCATCGCAGGATCCTGTTCTTTGTTATTTGGGTAAGAAATACTTCATAATTCAGTTTTAATTTAGGAAGCGTTGGTATCACGTGGCGACTTTATGATATTTTCTCCGAGCGTTTGGCAGAAAATTTTGATCAATAATAAATTGGGATTTAATTTTCTCTAAACGTATATTCATAGCTAATTACTAGTTACTATAGAAGATCACTCAGAAAATGTTATCGAAGTATTTTTTACTACTCCAGAACATCATTGTTGAAATATTGTATACTACTCCAGAACATCATTGTTGAAATATTGTATACTACTCCAGACTTTAATGTTGATATATTATTTACTACTAGACAATTTTATTGTTGAAATATTGTATACTGCTCGAGAACTTTATTGTTGAAATATTATTTACTAAGGTAAATATTCGAACACAATAACAATACGTTAGCTTTTACGATAATTTTTTATTAACGACAAGTATTGTCAAACTCTATGTACTCAGCTTCTACAATTATCCTTAATTAATATATTATATAATATGTACATACGAACACCATTGCTCTACGTTTACCAAACCCTCTACCAACTATGGTATATCCGACAGTGAACATAGCAGCGACTCCAACAGCTTCCACACATCTAACAGTGAAGGCGAGAGCGATAAATGGGGTTCCAGGAGGGGAACGGTCCAAAGTACTGAGTAGTACATATTTCAATAATAATTACCTCGAGAATTTTATGCCCACAGTACTTTAGTACATCGAATACGTCAGAAAATATTAGCCAAACATATCTCGACAAATCTCGTAATATCATAACACTGAATGTACCTTTTGTTATTGAAGGCTTAGATCGACAAGTAAACGATATATTTTCCAACAAATTTCCCTATTTTAATCTATTTTTATAAGCTATATGTATATATTTTCATGTTGTAATTTAGATGTTTGCTAGAGGGCGTATGACGATAAGAACAAGTAAGTTTGAGAGAGTAGGCCTACAATATTCTACACTGACGTCACGAAAACCTAAAGGTTTTGCAAACTATCTAGAATAAGGATTAGATATAAATACGGGTAATCTAGCCTGTTGAGTAAATCGATCAGTGTGTTTACGTTTTTGGATCTGTTAGCTATAATGTATATTAAGCTACTTTGTACAAGTTTATTTTTTACGTTATCGTAGTGCAGTTAGCGTGGCAATAAACGTTGGCCTACAACTACAACTTACACGTACAAGTACAACAAGTTACAAAGTCTACAAGCGTGTAAAGAAACTAAAGAGGGAATGAAATTAATTTGTTATTGTTACGTGGACTTGACGTTGAATTCTTTTGACCAGTTAAATTAAAAAAAACCCGCCAACGAAAGAAAATTATTACCTTACTATTTTGTTATATCTGATTTTTTAGTTTTTTCTAGGGTTGACCTTTTTCTGTCGGTCTTTCGTTGTGTTCGATGTAGCACGTTACATTGTGTCACCTGTAAAAATCACTGTAAACTTTACTGTAACACTAATTTTACGTAATTAAACTAAGTTATCAACGTTTCATGACATTTAATTTAATATATATAGTTTTAATTATGTTTTAAAGAGCTTTGTTATTCTGAGTATATTTTTTAAAATGTTAAATAAAATAAAATATTTTCATTCAATAATAAATGGTTTGCTAGGCTTCCATTGAGTTGTCATATGGATTTGGGACGACAATTGGGCCAGCGATTGGAGGGTTTCTTTATCAGGTGACGTTTGTTGTTCTTACTTTATGTACAATTTTAATAAATCTGCACATATTTAGAGACCTTTATAAATCTATTTTAAAATATCTGAGTTCTGTTGTTGGTATTTAATATTAAAACAATATATATATGTGTGTATGAGTGTTGTTATGAAGATGAAAAAAGCAGTATGTCTTTAAGATGATATCTTTCCGTTGCATGAAATATCATTTTAACTTGGTATTAATTTTTATTATTTTTGACTTTACCTTATTAATCTGTATTCAGTTGTTACAATCGTATATTCAATAAGCTCCATTTTTGCCCGGTTTGTGTTTTTCTGTTGATAAGTTTCTTTTTACTTTAATTAAAGATGGACTTCGTTTTTAACTCAATGTGCATTTTGATAGAAATATTTAGTAATTTGGACCTGATATTTACATAATTTCAGGCAGGAGGGTATATGGTTCCATTTTTTGTTCTTGGAGGAATTTTAATTACGCTTGCCTTTATGACTTTTTTATTTCTACCAGAATCAGGTAAGTTACAATGAAAGTCAGCGTGTAAAATATAAATATTACAGAATCAGGTAAGTTACAATGAAAGTCAGCGTGTAAAATATAAATATTACAGAATCAGGTAAGTTACAATGAAAGTCAGCGTGTAAAATATAAATATTACAGAATCAGGTAAGTTACAATGAAAGTCAGCGTGTAAAATATAAATATTGTTTTTCATAAACGTTTTATTGCATTCTTTATTTTCAGTCTTGAGCTTTGTATTGATATTTGGCCAGACGAAGTTTTAAAGTAGTATTATAGGCATGGCTTAATGACTAGAATCTTTTTTGAAAGCTTAGAAATTGAGTTGAGTCGCATAGAACATTAACTGGACTAGAGACTTTAATGATCGATTTGTGAGTTTTTTTTTTACAATTGGTTGATTCAATATTGACTTGGTGAACTTGTTAGCTTATCTGTTTCTCTAACCAGCCAGTTCATTTTTGTGAATATTGAGTTTGTGTGTCAACTAAATACTAGAGGTACGAGCATATGACGTAGGTAAGAGAAAGTATTAGCAAGTAAATAACAGTTTAGTGTTATTTGAAAGTTAGGCCTATTGCTCGGTTAACGTCAGAATAGTGTGTAAAATCTGTAGAACTTGTTATCGAAGGAATAAAACAATTTTGTTATCAGAAAATGGAATGGACTTTGTATTCTTTTTCAGCTGAGAAGTTTAAAATCCTCCCCTGTTTGTAAATTCTATATCAAACTCCTGTCAAAAACCACCATCCTGTCATGGTGTGGTTATAAATCCTAAAGAAAACCACCATCCTGTCATGGTGTGGTTATAAATCCTAAAGAAAACCACCATCCTGTCATGG